CTCTCTCTCTCTCTCTCTCTCTCTCTCTCTCTCTCTCTCTCTCTCTCTCTCTCTCTCTCTCTGTGTGTGTGTGTGTGTGTGTGTGTGTGTGTTCATATGATTTTGTTAGGAATTGAGCAATGCAACTGGCAACATTCTTGACAATGAGCCACTGATTACAACCTTGGAGAACACGAAGGCAAAGGCTGTTGAGATATCAGAAAAGCTGGAGCTGGCAAAGGTGACTGCCACCGAGATTGAGCAGGTGAAGATAACGAATGACACCAGATGGGCTTCCAGTGTTGAACAAAGTTACAGGAGTACTTCATGCTCAACTTTAACCAGAGCGTATTTATCAAACAACAACTGCCCTTCCACCTTAATGTGATTCCGAAAGTTCCTTGGTTCTCACACTTACATTCTCTCTCCAATAGGATGCTCCTCAAATGCTCCCATTTTCCTGCTCTCTGACCGATCAACTGACTCAACTTGCAAAGGGTACTTCCATCAGCTTTGACACATGGTTTAAATGCAGTCAATGCGGTGAGACCACAATAAAGTTGAATAAACCCACCACATTACATAGGTTATGTATTGAAACCTGCGTCCCCCCCCTATTCCAGTAAGGATGAATATTGACACTGGACATCATCACAGTACATGTATCCGTTCGCAACCTGAATAGGCTCTGCAGTTTGCTGCCCTGGCCGCGTCTGCGACAAGGTGTAGTGTGACTGGTGAAGGGCCCCCAAAGAAGGGTGCACAAAAGAGGGCAACCAGTAGGGGAAGATTGCTGGATGACTGACAACCAGGAGGTCAAGGGCTGAAGGACACAGAAACTACCATGTCTGCGGCCTAGTCATTCCTGCACTTGTAGGCTAGTCTTGGCCTTCTGTCTAATTCTAGGAAAATGAGGGCTGTTGAGCTACTCATTCTGGTGGTGCCTGGTGGATTTGGCCTAAGCAAGGGTCCAGATTCCCCCGGACCTGATTGTGCTTCGGGCCTGGTCTCTTTTCCCCCGCCTTTGGCGTGAAGCTGGTCAAGAAAAAAGAGCCAGGTAGAGGCGGACTCGGTTGGCCGACCCTAGGTAGGGCCTTTCTTTGTGACCATGTGCCAGTGGTCCTGGCCACTTTCAGACCAGGTCCAGATAGACCTGGCAGGTCTCCTCCAGGGCCCGCTCAACTGGTCAGGCTGGGTGCACCCGTCCTTGTTTTCTGTCCAGGTCCAACCTGACCATGGCAGCCCTTCCTGCTGACTGGACTGAGCTATTCCAGCCCGGAGCTTGGGTCGGTTGTCAGCAGGGTCGCCTATCCACTTACACCTTTAGGATGTCTCCAAGCAGCAACCAGGCTTGAGTCAGGCAGACCGGGTGGTTGGATACAAGCCGTACACAACCTTGGGGTGGTGCACTGCAGTGCACTATCTTGCCTTGGTCAGAAGAAGCACACCATCTTGCCATGGGTCATAGGCCCCCATCAATTGAACCCAGCAGCGGCCAGTTTTACATCACTCTTTAAAGGAGCGTTAGCTGTAGTTTGTGAGAATCCGTTCGATTTCAGATAGGTGATCGTAGGCGCCAGTCGTTCTATTTTTTTTTAAAAAAGAACCAAGGATAGGCTTGCCATAAAGTGGCAAAAACAAAAAACTTAATAAAAAGTTAAAAACACTATTAAAAAGATTCCTCGTTGCAAATCTTTGGCAAAGCTATGAACAGATGCAAGTAATCCCGAACGAACAAAAGAAGTACCTAAAAGAATTGATAAAAAGGGGAAACTATGTGAGAGTCACAAAAATGAGTTATAATTGCGCTAGGGGTCAAGATACAGTTTCGAATTGCAGTTCGGGCAATGTACACAACCCAGATTTCTGGCCAGGTAGGGTGCGCCAAGTGCAATTGCAAGCTGTATCTTGCCCCATAGTGCAATTACAACTCGTTTTGTTGACTCTACTGAAGTTACCCACCCTAGTAAAAAAGTAACAATGTTTTGAAAGAAGGTCCAAGAACTCAACCGAAATGAAATGACTGAGTCAATACAGCTGTAGCTAATACCCAAGGCACCAAAGATGCATTTTCCACGGGATCCCAAATCCACCAACCGCCCCAACATGATAAGCCCGCTTGTGCAAGCCATCAAAGCCCCAAAACAGGCACCCTTACAAGGGTGGTGCAGACGCCTTTATAAGGGTGCTGTTCCCTTGCCCACTTGACATGTTCTTGGATGCACACAAAGACTTAGCATACAACAGAAGAAAAACTCACGCGTCTAATTGAATATGCAACTCAATATTCTTTGCCTTTAATTATAGTATGTGCATCTGGAGGAGCAAGAATCCACAGGTCAATCCTTGATGAGACAGTTTCCGCGCTCACACATCTCACAACTCCCAGCACAACACATTAAACCGGAACATAGTGTGTAGTGTGTTCTTATGAGTCATGACAACAACATGTAACTTCGCACATACGCATGCTGATCACGACATATCAGACGGGGCGAGTGTGCGCGCAAAGTACTGAACTGCAACATAGCGCACTCTCAGCGAAACAGCATGAAACCTCGCACATGCACATGCTTGTCACTGCATGCATGCCACTTCCAAAGATTTAAACTTTGAGGAAGGGGCTGTCATCCTGAATTTTCTGCAAGTTGAATTCGAGGGTGGCAACGGGGCATCCCAGTCTCATATAGTTCAGCACGCCAAACAAAACATGTCAAGGACAAACGCCATCCATACTATCCACTGGTCACTTTTCAATGAGGACAATCACTTTAAAGTTTAAACTGATGTGGAGGTCCATACATAGGTGCCATGTGTTATGATTTTAGCAAAAGGCCAATCGATTTCGAAAGACTTCACTCACTCATACTTGATTGGAACCAAACACGTGATGGAAACTTTCTTGAAAACTTAAACTGATCGGACAGGCTTTGATATAAACAGAGAGATTTTTATGTCTATCGGCCTGCACAGCCGCCCTGATCGCACAGCATCCAACGGAATAGAAAGAGATATGGTGTACTGCCAGAACTGTCTGGCTATGGCTGCGCCCAATCTCCCAGCTACAAACGCTAAGAATAATGCTGCTCCATTCTCTTGCTCAAGAAAACTCGCAGATTACCTACAAAAATCCTGATTCGCTTTCTGAAAGGTCCTTTTGTAGTCTAGGTGAAGAGAATGTCTACCTACAGTTCCTAGGTTCGAATCTTTGGCAGACGTAGAACAGCAGAAGGCTTCAATAGTCACCGCAGTTGGGGCAGGTTGCAGGTTCAGATCCTGCTGCCCCAACACCATGGTTTCCAGCAGCAGCTTCCATGGCAACATTCAGCAGGCTGCCGTCATTGCCTTCCATCAGGCATCCTCCTGCCCGTCCCCGCGAGAAAACTACTCTTGACCCATGCAGATGAAATGCAGAGGATAAGACAAAAGACAGTCCCTATGGTTCGTAGACAAAGACCATGGGTTTCAGCACCTTCATTGCAACACATTCACCGGGCACCCACTTTGGCGTCCCTCAGGATCCTCCGGCTATGGCCTGCATTCCGAGTGCCCTCAACATTATCGTATATGGAGTGAGACCCCGGTCCCCACCATTCTTGGTTAACTCTAATCTGTAAACCCTATACCCTCAGGGCCTCGCTCCACAGTACTGGAACTTGTCCTAGAATTTCCTTGAGCGTTGTTGCCCTTATTGACTGCCAGACACAGCTAACCTAGATGGCTAGCAAAAAGCATCAGCCATTTTCACCCCAAAGTCCAAGGGAGCCAGCAGAGGTGAGCAGGGAAGTTAGGAGGTTCCTAAATGCTCATTACAGACTTTTGCAGGCATGTGAAAAGGAATGGACGGCTAAGATTTGATCTGCAATCAGACTCACTTTCTTTTCCACTTCGCACTCATGCAAACAGATGGTGGATCACACTGGCGCACAGCGCCCACTCAAGGCTCAAAGATATGGAAATCGAAACACAGTTCAGATGCAAGCTCGCTTCAACATGCTATGGCGCATCAGCGCCTGTACAACTCAACTCTCGTCACTCTGTGCAACACCACTTCTCACACTCACTCACTCTGGATCACCCTGGATATCCCACACGCATACACACACTCTCGTACTCATACACTCGCCTATCAGCTATGGCGGCTATGGCCGCTGTCCCTCTCCTAGCTATGTCTAACTATCTCCTTCAGCCCACTTCGTCTTCG